AGAGACCGCACAGGTGGGCAAGACAAGCCAGGCAGGGCCACCTGGAACAGTGCCCGTGCCACCAAATTACTATCATCGCCTGCCCTGGACCTTGACAACCAGCTGAGCGCCAGGCTCTTGCCATGGCCGGGTTTCACGCCCCTTGCTAGGCCAGGGCACTGCAGCGAGGCTGCAGCACGCAAAACCAAGCCGAGCCCCTGATCTATTCATTACAGCCCCCCGGGCGCCCCCGGAGAGCAGCTCAGAGGGACACGGGGAGCAAACGGCTGGGCGCCAGCTCTCGGCACCTTCCCCCTCACCCCAGCAAAGGGGCACTCACGCATCTGCACTAATACCCTGACTCTGCTCATCCTGCCTTCCCTGGGGCTAACGAGGGATTCACCCCACTTCTAATTAATTCTGCCACCCCCGGGATGGGCACGGGCCCTGACCGCTGTCGGAAAGCCACGGCTTCTCATCCGGCTGCCAAGGAGTGCAGGGGTACGAAGAGGGCCGAATCCTGCCAACCACCTTGGCCTTCGGCGGCTGGGGGGAAAGGGGGTTTCTCACTGCTTTAACGATGGGGGAGAGGGGCTGAGGCAGGAGACCAGTCCTAAGCCATAGGGCGAGCTGGGCCTAGACCCCAGCGGTGCCCACCGGGCCCTGCTTACTCCCAAATTCCCACCAAAGCAGCCGGGCAGGAAGCTCAGGGTTTGGCTCCGCCAGGCCGTTCCAGGACAGCTTCGAAGCCTCCTGGAAACGGAGCTGGAAAAACTGTGTTGGCTCCCCGGGAATCCCACGCAACGGGCTCCAGACCCACAGCGTCTCCTGGGCTGAACATCCGCCCCACAAAGAGACCAGCTCCTACTGATGGGCTCACGACAGCGCTTCCCCCCGGGGCCGGGCTGGATTTCCCCCTTCCCGTGCGTGGGCAGGAAGCAGAGCCACGAGCATCTCTGCCACGGCCTCTGGCTTCCCCCCAAAAAATGAGGGAGGAAAATCTCCTTCCCATCCCTCCGTGCCGGCTCCTCTCTCTTGAGGCCCCCGCCCCGCCCGGCCGGGCCCAGCCATCCTACTGGAAGGTAATTATGCTGCAATTTTTATTTATGACTTTTTTTTTTTTTTTTTTTTTATGGCTGAAGGGTGACTCATTCTGGCAACATTAAAATACACAGGAAATCATCCCCGTTTTACAGTAATCACCATTCAATTCATTGTTAAATATTTATTCTGCGTGGCTGCGACGCTGGGAGAAATTCGAGGGCCTCTCTGCGAGGGTCCGACGAGCCGGGGGAAGCAAAGGCCCGAGGACCTCGGGACCCAGCAGAGGAGGGGCCACCCGGCAACAGCCCCACGGCCCCGACGGACAAAACCCCCTATTATGCCACTTCTGGGCACCGCCTTGCAGAAATCCCAGGGCTCTGCGCTGCTCCGGGGCCGGGGCCATGTCTCAGCCCTCTCCCTGCCACAAACTCCCCATTGTTGGAGCAAATGTCAAGCCCAGTCCCCACAAGCAGAAAAAAATTAAAAAAAAATAAATAAGAGGCCCATTTTGTGCCAGCATCCTCCCCTGCACCCCGGGGGCCAGGGACATCCTGCCCCACCACCCGGCTCCTGAGGGATTTTGGTGTTTGGTGGAGCCAGGCTGCAGCGAGAGAAAGGAGACAGCAATTTGACATTGATGGGCCTTACAAAGGAGAGGATCCTCTCTTTGTTGTTTCCCCCGCGACGGGCAGATCACGGGGCTGGGCCCCCCCTGGCCTGCCCCGCCGGGGGGACGGGCTGCAGCAGAGCGCACCTATGTGGCGCCCGCGATTCGCCGCCTCAGCGAGTTACCTTCATCCTCGACGGAGCTAACGAGTTTGCGAGGCAGCTCGACGGCCCATTGTCATCGGGCAGTGACAAACGACCGCAAAAAGGTTCCCATGCAATACGCCACCGTTTCCCCCTCGCCATTGTCTGAGCAGCCTCGGAGGAGGAGGACACGCCAGCCCACCGGTGCCCCGCTCCCGGGGGGTCTCTTCCCTACCCTCCTGGAGCAGACGAGCACGTCTGCTTTTGTTTACTTCCTCCTTTCTCTCCCCGCGCCCGCCAGGCCCCTCGCACGTCAAACTGTGGCCGCAGGGTCAGCGGGGTGGGGGGCCGACTACGCCGCAGTGGCCCGACACCCAACAGCTCAGGGGGCAGAGGTGGACAGTCCCCCCCTTAGCCGCGGCGAGGGGGGCTCAGCACGGGCAGACCTCCCCCGGCAAAGGGGAAGAGCTAGCAGCCGTGCCGTCCTGTACAGCGCCGAGCGCGCCGCGGGGGCCACTTACCCGGATCTCGTTGCGACGGATCTCCACATCGCACACGGAGTGTCCCTGGTGGGCCCCGCTGTAGTAGCAGCAGAACTGGCACACGGCGACCTGCTCCGCTTCACAGTGGTACAGCCGGTAGGCGTTGTGCTGGGGGCAGCTCCAGGCCCGCACGTCGTCCGCCTCCACCAGGAGGTGCCCGCGGGCCGTGGAGGGCTGCTGCAGGTGGGTCTGCACGTGAGACTGGCAGCAGGGCGCCTCGCACCTCAGGCAGATCTTCTGGGCCGGCAGCGGGGGGCCCCTGCGGCAGAAGACGCAATGCAAGACCGAGGGCGTCTTCTCCAGGTTGAGCGAGTTGAATTTCTCCACGATGTTGGTCAACTTCAAGTTCTTCTCCAGGTTGGGCTTCTGGTTGTAGGCCTGGTTGCATTCGGGGCAGCGCACGAGCCCCGTCTCTTTGGCCCACGCCTCCCCGATGCAGCCCCGGCAGAAATTGTGCTTGCAAGGAAGTTGAACAGGTTCCACGAAGACATGCAGGCAGATGGGGCAGATCAGCTCCTCCTCGAAACAGTTCTTCCAATTCTCAGCCATGTCTGCCGATCTATTTACAGTTTCTCTCGCAATATTTCAGCTAGAGCTACAGATGCAGACGGAAACTGGGTTCCCCCCCTGCAACAGGAAGTCTCACGGTAAATGGCTATTTGAGAAGGGAAAATAAAAATCATAGATGCAGACACAGGCTGGGAAAGGAATGAGACAACAGACCTAAAACGTAAAAAGGTGAAAAAAAAAAAATAAATCAAATCAAGCACAAGCAAACAACAGAAATCGATACATACGATTTGACTAAGACCCAGCATGAACAGCTGAAAAAAAGAGAGAGACAGAAGCTTTTGGGTGGAGAACCCACGATTTTAAACAAGTCTAAAGAGCAGTTTGTTTCTTGCGCTTCCAGGAGGCGAATCGAAACTTACCAAAGGTTGCAAAAAAATCCATACAAAATCCAGTCGCAGAGTCCAAGTTCCATATAAACCTCCTAAATTTAGAGCTCCGGATTTGACTTTCCGCGTCTTAGGTTGGCAACTGACATTCAATCTTTTTAAAGGGAGGTTTGGTCCCCCTCCCACCAACCTGGTCAGCGCCCGAGAGAGGAGGCTGCCTCCGATTTTTATTTTATTATTGTTTTTCCTCCTTGTCTCCCTGAGGGGAATTAGGAATCAAAGTCTTTCAAAATAAAAATCAAAGAGTTAAGATCCAAGCGGGAGGAGGATGATATTAAATTAAAAAAAAAAAAAAAAAAGGTTAAATGACAAGCTGGATTCTTTGAAGCGCCCCAACGATTTGCTTCGAACCCAGCCGAGCAGCCTAAAAAAAAAAAATGGGGAAAAAATGCTTTTGGTGGCGAGATCTTGGATGGGTCAGTCAGTCATTCAGATGAAAATCCAGCCCGGAGCCAAAGGAAGCCTCCCAGCCCCTTGCTCCTCGCACAAATAGGAATGAAGAAGAAATTGGTTTGGGGGAAGGAGGAAAAAAAAAAAAAAGCAAAAAAAAAAAAAAAAATCAACCTGCTCTAAATCCTCACTAAGGGCTGGCTTTAAAAATCACCACTGAGGCTGGCTTCTTTCAGAAACTGGAGGTCTCCCGATTCGAGCAAAACCCCCTCACCAAAAAAAAAGAAAGAAAATCATCCGAAATAAGACAATCAAATCAAATCAAATGCTGAGGATTGCGGTCGCTGGGAGGAAGGCAGGCATGCCTTGATCAAACTGAAAAGGAATTTCTCAACTGCTAATGAAAAACCCTGCCCCCTCCTTTTCCTCCTCTTCTCTGTTTTCCCTCTGACATGAAAGCTATTTCTCCTTTTAGATCCAGCCTGCGAAGGGGGCGAGAGGAGAGAGAGAGGAGAGAGGAAAAAAAAAAAAGCTCAAAGGAGAGTGCTGAAATGTACAATTCCAGCAGGATCTATTCAATCCTCAGCCATTTTGAGTTGCCTCGCTCTCTTCCTTTGGCTTTTAAGAGCGAGTGCGAGAGAGGGAGCGAGCGAGGAGAGAGAGAGAAGGGCGGATTTAAATTCGGGGGGGGGGGGGAAACAAACCCAAAAAAAAAAAAAAAAAAAAAAAGTCACAAAAAATAATAATAATTTAAAAAAAGGGGAGAGAAAAAACGAGCTGGATCCGGCGGTGGCACCACCCCACGAAGTCGGCGCCTGATGTGTCAGTTGAACGAGGGGAAACTCCGCGCCGAGCCCGTGCAACGCCAGCTGCTGTCGCCTCTCGGCTTTATCATCAGATCAAAAAAAAAAAGAAGCCAACGCGCTCATCACCGC